CCTCGCGCTCCTGCTCGGCCACCACGGCCAGGGCCTGGCGCAGCCGCTCGGGCGCCGCCTCCAGCGGCCGGCGCAGCGCGCCCAGCACCTGGTCTCGCAGCAGCGCGTACAGCGCCTCCACCTTGCTCTGGCGCCGCACCAGCTCCTCCGCGCTCTCCGCGCCGCCCGCCGCCGCCTCCAGCAGCTCGCGCTCCAGCGCCAGCAGTGGGCGCGCCGCCTCCAGCTGCCCGCGCTCCAGCTGCGCCTTCAGCTCCTCCACTGCGGCCAGAGCAGCGGGTTAGCGGCCGGAAGGCCCACGGGAAGGGGGCTGAGACCCGGGGATCACGCTGTGAGCTACCCGACCCCTAGCTGACCCTCCTGCACTCGATCGGAGGTTGTAAACTGCCCAGGAAGAGACTGCCTGACCTTCTGCCGCAGAGCAGTTAATGGATTTGATAGCAAGGCTTTGGGGTGGCAGCGCAGCTCCTTACCGATAGGCCACCAGAGCCCCCCTTGGCCAAAGAGGCGAGCCAGCTAGCCAACAGGACAGACAGCCTGGTCTCCCGACCTCCAGTCCCCCCATATTGAGGGATCAAGTGAAGGCACCCTCTGGTCCTGTCTGCTGCGCTTCAAGGATGCTTTGTCCCCTCAAAGGAACCCTTACCCTGCCCAACCTTTGCACCCGTTCTGGCCCACCTGGGCCAGCCTACCTACCTGTGGGCAGCCGGCCTTCGTGCTCAGAGCTGGGCTTGGGTGTGGCCTCTGGGTCCTCAGAGCTGGACTGGCCCTTCTTCTTTTTTCCTTTGAACACTCCGAACATAGTGGCCAAGCCTTTTGACTTCTTCTTCTTTGCAGTCCCCTCCTCATCCAGGGCGCCTGCTCTCTCTAGGGATGGCACCAGGTCCTCAGAGGAAGCCTCTGACACGGAGGCCTCAGACTCCCCTTCTGATGTCGAGGGCAGCTTTTTGGGGCCTGTGGAAAAATCTAGGGCCCCCGGCACAGGCCGCTCTCCCGGGAGGCCTTGGAAGAAGGTCATCATCTTGAGCATCTCTGGCTCAGCCTGTGGGTAGGAGGGGAAAGGAGTCAGTGGCCGCTGTCCACAGGCCCAAGCCCGGCTCCCTGGCCCAGGCATAGAGCACATGGCAGTGCTAAACCTGCAGGGTCTGGTTTCACCCGGACTATCCCAGGGCTCTGATCCTGCACCAGCAGCCCTGTCCCCTCCCAGGCCACACGTGTCTCACCCCCACAGCTCATATTTTCGTATCACTGGTCTAAGTATAGCCTCTAAAGCAAAGAGGAGGGAAGGGGATGTCAGGTGGAGAGGCTGTGCAGATAAGGACGCCAGCACTTCCTTTTGGCAAATTCTGCCTTGACAGAAACACAGCTATGCCATCTCAGGCCACAAGGGGTGCAGAGTTGGCACCCCCATCCCAGCTCAGGCACATACCCCCGGAAACCACAGTGCACCCTCAAACAGGATCACTGGGGCCAAATTTCAGGGAACAGGAAGGAACTTGGAAAAGCTTCTTGTGGCAGTGGGCCAAGGGGGGCTTCACAAGCCCTAGCAAAGCTGGGGGCCACACATAACCAGGGTGGGGAGCTCCACCACACCTGCAGCCTACCCCCTGTGGGATGGCATCGTCACAGTGCTCTTCTGAGTGCCCACCCCATCCTGGCCTCATGTGCACTGGAAGAGGTGTCATTTTCCTCACATCTCATTAAAGTGCCCAGAGAGCTTAAGGCACCCCCTCAGATCACCTGTTTCAGAGCCTGGTTCTGTCCCTGCACCCAGCCCTGCATCAGGGAGGCGGGACCCTGGAGAGGACCTTGGTTGACTCCCTAGAGGGAGCAGGTCAGGCAGGAAATGGGGAGCTGTTAGGGCTGGGCCTCCCTGGTAACTGGGGTGACCCATAGCCATGGTGCCACCGCATGCCCCATCCTGCCCCCTGGAAAGTAAACACATCCAGCCTTGCTTCCTGCAAGGCAGCAACCCTGCCACGAGGCTGCTGGGACGAGCCAGCATTCAGATGGGGACCCAAGAGGAACAGCTTGCCTCAGGCACACAGCAGGCCAAGGTTCTCCCTACATCCCATGCTGCCTCCACCAGAAGGGCCTCCTGGCCTATCCTCCCAAGTGAGTCTGGGTTCCTCACATCGCAGCCTTACCAGGTGGCCTGGGAAGATATCAGAATTCCTGAGCCTCAGCTGTCGCCCCTAAGCCCTATGACCAAGAATCCCACAGAAGAATCCATCCAGGCTTCAACTTTGCTCTCCTCCTGGGGTGGGGGCTGCCTTGCCCTCTCACCAACAGCTACCCCACCCCCTGGCCCACAGCTGCCGCCACCTCCCAGTATGACAGGTCCTCGCTCCCACACAGACAAGGTCCCTGCCGGTCCCTGCACAGCATTTCTCTCTGTGTGGCACAGCCGGCCAGCTCAGTGGGCAGAGACAAGGCTGTAATCTTGGCTGACCACATCCCTTCTCCACCAGCCTCAGCTCCCTTACTGAGACATGGGGTTGAAGGCTGCTAGGAAGATATAAAAACCACACAGCCCAGTGATAGGTACCAACCTGCACCCACACACAACCCTCCCCCCTCAGTGTGGCAGCAGATAGAGGAGAGGCTCGCAGGAAGGGGCCCCTGCCCCACGGTGAGGCTGCAGCCCTGCAGGGGCAGGCGCCCTGGGCAAGCCTCCCCCCTCCCCAGCCGGCCCTCAGGCTCGCACACCCTCACCCCTGCCGGGTTCAGGATTGATGCCCACTGTGCCTGCCGGTGGCGTCTGGACCCGGCTGCCTCTCTCCTGGGTGGGTCAAGGGGGCACATCTGTGCTCCAGCGGAGGACCCCCAGGTGCGGGGAAGGAGGGACTCGCCTAGCCCCACACCTAGGAGCCACGCCCTGGACCTGCCTCCCTATGGAAGGGAGACCCTGTCACTTGGCTCCATAGTCTTTGGAACCACAGAAGCTTGCGCTGCGGTCGCCAAACTGGCAGCGTGTGCGCCCCGAAGCTCAGCCCAGGGACGGAGTTTCCCTCGCAGGAGGGCTGCCAAGGGAGGCGCGAGGGGCCCCAGACGTCCCACTGGCCTGTCTCCTCCGCTGTGCCAGGCGCTCCGGCCCGTGGAAGCGGGCGGCGTGTGCGCGTAGCAGCGGGGACGGAGGCACAGCGGGGTCACTTACTGTGTCTGGCTGGCGCTGCTGTCCGGGGGAGGCGGGCGCCGCCTGAAATAGTCCCAGGCCCCGCCCGCGCCCCGCCCTCTGCAACCGCGGAAAGCCCGCGGGCGGTGACCGAGCGCAGCCTCTGGGGACTCGGCTGTCCAGCGACGGATGGAGGCAGTCCGGGCAGCGGGTCACCACCTCCCACCAGTGGGCGGTGGCTCAGGGCCGAGTGAAGCCGGGGCAAGGGGGGCGCGGGGAAGCCCACTCCCGCAGCTTGGTGCCGGCAATGACCAGCCCTAGACCATTGTCCGACCAAGACCCTGATTGGCTGCCTGGCACCCCTCACCCGACCCCCCATACCTTCTCTTCCCTCGTCACAGAGCCCACACAGGAGCGCCCTGTCACTATGGGGTTCAGGGAGCCTCAGTGCGACGGTCGCCCGTTCTGGGGAGATTCTCCCAGCCCGTGGCACCACTGGCACTGGGGCGGAGGGCTTCCTGGAGGTGGTGTCTCGGGGAAATGTGACCGAAGCTGCTCCAGACCAATCACCAGTGTCCACTCTTGTCCACATGACCTTTGTGGAGTCTGGTTGACAGGAGGAAACTGAGGCTCCGGAAGGTGAAGTGACACGTGCAAGGTGACAGCATCAGTGACAAGGTCTCCGTCCCCTGGGGCCTGCAGGACTCCCAAGGGGCTCCGCCCATCTTCAAGGAAAGCGGGCTGGCCCTGATCCTGGGCTCTGAACCCCAAGGACTAACGCCTGGGCCTTGAGCAGGTCACGCATCCCCACCCCCCACCCCCGGGCCTCAGTTTCCCCTCCGCAGCCGAGCCTTTCCCAGCCTGAGGGGGGAGGGGAGAGGGGCCCGACCACACCCCCTTCCTGGTTTCCGCCCAGGACCGCGCTGGGAGGGGAGCCTGTCATTGAGGAATTTCCCGGCTGGGCCCCAGCGCCGCCGCCTCCACGAGCGCCCCTCCCCTGGCCTGGGCACAGATCCCGGGAAGGGGGTGCCGGGCGGGGTGGGAGAGGGGAAAGCCGGGTGTTTGGGGGACTGAGTTCTTCCTCTTCATCCTCGGGAGGGGTGGCGCAGGGCCAGGATTGGCTCTGGACTGTCACCTTCCATCCTGCCTCTAGGGGAGGGGGAAGTGGGGGAGGGGCTGCCAGGAGGGGCTCCTCCCCTCCCTGAGACCCCCGCCGGGGGTGAAGGGGCAGTGTGTGATGACGGTCGCGTTTTCCAGATGAGCCAACACAACACAGCGGCAGGACAGACAATGGACCGTCGCTCTTGCTCGGTGAGGCAGGAAGCTGGAAAGACAGGAATGGCCTCATTTCACCCAGCAGATGATCTGGACCTGGGGGCCTGGCAAGCTGCCTCCGTGGCCCCTGCTGTGTGTGCATTGAGCAATCCCCCTGGCACCCTGTCAGCCAGGTCAACTCCCAGGGCGAGATTGGGACATCACTGAAGAAATCCCAGCTCCCCAGGCTATGAGGGTGGACCAAAGCCGGACCCCCACGGCCCCCTATTTTCCTAGATCAGCTTGGCAGGCACTGGTCTTCTGCAGGACAGAAGAGGCAGGGATGCTGTTGAGGGGAGAGCAGTGTTGGTGGAGGAAAACCTTGGGAAAAGCAAACGCTGCCGCCTTCAGCAGCTGTATCACCACTTCCTGCTTTGAGCTCCAGGCCTGCAGCCAAGGTCACATGCATGAAATCCCCAATCCAGGGGTTGCCCAAAGATCGATCAATGGACACCTCATTACCCTTCTCTCAGCAGCTAATGGGGTCAGCATGGCGGAAATTATTCTCATCCTAAAGTCATCAGAGGTTGGGGTTTCCAGGAGAATCAAAGGCCAGTGAAGAAATCCATCCCACCAGGAAATGATCTTCAGATGCTGATCCGAAGGAGCCCGAGCAGCAAGGCCCATCCCCTGCATCCCAGGCAATATCAGCCTGTCCTGCCTCCGTAGCTGAGAGGAAACAGACGCCTCCTCTCACATCCCTCTCCAGCCCAGCCCTGAAGCCAGATGTGCCAGCACCTGGCCAGGGCCATGGTCAGCTCCTCTCACGCAACCCAGAGCCTCAGAGGCTGGGATGCTCTGGCCAAGAATACTGGCACTGACTCTGATTGGCCTCTTCTGTGGCCAGGCTCTGCTTGAAGAACTATTCCTGAATTAACGGGGCTTGCCTTCCAAAAAGCTTCATCATGTGGCTATTGCTTAACTCTAGACCCTGTTCACAGCAGAGGAACTGAGGCACAGACGGCCCAGCGATGTGTCAGTCTGCAGGGAGGCTGGGGGTGCTTTCTCCTAAGCACTGGGCTGTATTGCTTCCTGCTTCAGTGTTGTCCAACGCCAACAGCTTGATGGATTTGAGTCGGCCCCAAGGAAGGGCTGCCATGCCAGACCAATTAGGGGCAGAAATGGAAGATGTTAACTACCCTCCACTTTTTTTTTTTTTTTTTTTTGCAATCACTGGCTATGCATCAGAGAGCTGGACAATTTGATGCCTTTGAGCTGTGGTGCTGGAGAAGAGTATTGAAGGTACCATGAACTGCTAGAAGAACAAACAGGTTCATCCTGGAGAGGGTTAAACCAGGCTGCTCCTTGGAGGCAAGGATTCTGAGGCTTTGTCTGACATACTTCCTTGGAGAGGGATATTATGCTTGGGAGAGTGGAGGGACAGAGCAGGAGGGGAAGGTCCTCTATGAGGTGGATTGATTCGGTGACTGGGGTAATCGGTGTGGGTGTGTCGGAGACAGTGCGATTGGCACAGGACAGAGCAGGGTTTAGGGCTGTTGTACATAGAGTCGCTATGAGTCGCAAGCAACTCAACGGCACATAACAACAACCACCACTTTTTTATTTTGTTTTAAATACTTTTTCCAAGGACTTACCCCTTC